CTTCCAGTCCAGCTCTCTGCTGTGGCCTAGGAAGGCAGTGGAGGATGGCCCAAGTGCTTGGGCCCTGTACCCGCATGAGACACCAGGAGGAAGCACCTGGCTCCTGGCTTTGGATTAGCGTGGTGTGCCGGCTGCAGCGGCCATTGGGGGGTGAACCAACAGAAAAAAAGGAAGACCTTTCTCTCTGTCTTTCTCTCTCACTGTCCACTGTCAAAAAAAAAAAAAAAAAAAGAAAAGAAAAGAAAAGAAAAAGCCAACAACGTTACTCATTTTTATTCCTTATAGCTTTGACTTTTGAAATCACGACCATGCGTTGTTCAGAGCAATAATTTATTCAGCCAAATGGAGAGGGAGGAACTAAAACTAGACAGAAACAAACAAATGAGATTAACTGAGTTTCAAATTAATTCTGGACACAGTGAAAGGAGGAGAAGAGAACTAATCCAAGGAACTTGTGAACACAGTTCTTTGATTACATATCATTAATCTAATAAAGGGGGTGGGTAAGAAAGGCAAACGAATCTTAGAATCTGCTTAGCAGGCTTGCTTTCTGTAGTGAAATGGGTATAGTCATTTCTAGAACTAGTCTGTGTATGTTGCAATATTGGCCAAACTGTGTTGTTGTTAGGAAGCAGGATTCTCACTGCGGGAGAGAGTGAGAAGGAGGGAAGGCCAGGAAACCCTGGGGCCTTGGACTGCTCGAGGTAGCAGAATGCGTTCATAATTTTTCATGGGACCATGTGAAATTGTTATTCCTTCCAACCATACCCACTGAGGAAGCCTAGCAGCAAGGACCCTCCAATACCAATGCGCCCAGCTTTCCAAATCTCATTCTCCAATCCAAACAACCAAGGCCCCTTGAGGAAGTGACCGATTCGAGGGAAAGGAAATGAGCAAACTTGGGCAGAAAGTGAGGAACCACTCACAGAATAAGTTGTGTTAACAAATCACTTGATGGGGCCAGCGCCGTGATGCAGTGGGTTAATACACCGCCTGTGGTGCCAGCATCCCATATGGGCACTGGTTCCAGTCCTGGCTGCTCCTCTTCCAGTCCAGCTCTCTGCTGTGGCCTGGGAAAGCAGTAGAAGATGGTCCAAGTCCTTGGGCCCCTATGCCCACATGGGAGACCAGGAAGAAGCACTTGGTTCTTTGGATTGGCACACCTCCAGCCATTGCGGCCACTGGGGAGTGAACCAACCGAAGGAAGACCTTTCTGTCTCTCCCTCTCACTGTAACTCTACCTCTCAAATAAATAAATAAAATCTTTTTTTAAGAAAAGAAATTACTTGAAGGGAATCTGTTGCCAAGTCTGGGACAAGCTGACCACCAAAATACTGACAGGGGTGAAATTACCATTCACTCAACAAAGCAGCAACCCATAGATTTGCACTGACACTGACTGAACAAATTTACAATCAAATGCCAGTTACTAAATCTAGAAGAAAGACTGGAATTATAAAAATCACCGTTTTGCAACCACCACTGTAAAAACTAATCTAAGCAGGAATTATCATTGTCTATTAAAATTATGGAGTGAAAGATTCGTCTTGCCTCCCGGGAGCCAGGAGCAAGGGCCTGCGGCCGGGCTGAGCAGCCACAGCCCTGCCGGTCCTCTGCCACTCCGTGGGATTCACGGATTCTCTCGAAAACCCGGAGGTTAAATTCACCTGGGTCAAAAGAATAAGGGTGCCGGGTGGAGATCGGGAGACTCCACACACGAGGCTGCCCTGAAGGTTGGGAAGCTGTCCCTGAACCTTTTCTGAGAGCCACTGTCACCTTGAAAATGAGGAAACCTCGCATTGTCTTGCGTGCACTGAGAGCTGCTGCCAACGGGGCCTTCGAGACACTGGGAACGCTCGTTCTGTGAGACAGTGCCCTTCCGACACGTGGTGTGATGCTCACGTATTTACCACAGAGTCCTTAAGTGGGGAGAGGCAGAGGGGTCCTTGGCGAGCCAGGCGGCCCCGCCCCGCCCACTTGAGACGACGTGAGTGACGTCATGAGAAACGGGATGACCTGCTCCCAACCACACATCCACCCAAGGACTGACCCCGAGCCCCTCCAGGCTGCTGCTCTTCTCAGTGAGTGTGTGATGTTTATTGTTCTTGTTCATCATGGATCGGGTTGGATCAATACTCAAATATACCATTATCCATTAACAGCAGGGGAGAACCCACGTATATACCCCCGCAGCATTGATCTGGCCTCTGTAAGGGCAAGGGTCCCGGCCTCTGGAGTGCATTGTAGGAGAGGACAGTGACCTTCTGCCTTCTCACTGCAGGCTCTGGCCTCAGAGGTGGGCACTCTCCAGTGCAGCTCTTCTGGGTGCTGTGATGGAAAGGGATAGCGTTTCTGGTTGGGTTGACCAGTTGGATGGAATCTGTCACTAGCTGTGTAACTTCAGCTAATATAATGTTTTCTTGGGATTCAGTTTTCTCATCAGTAAAAATGGACATATATGCAGGGTCACAGGACTAGAGGGGGTCATGCATGTGATGCAATCTCCATCAGTAGTGAGTCTAAATAATTTTCTTCCTCTTTTCTTTTGGTCCTAAAATATTTGTGGCTATGAATGGAACTGGGTGGAGGGCTTTAAGAACTCATTACAAATTATTGAAGCTTTTTTCTCATTAAAAGAATATTATTGGCCGGCGCCGCGGCTCACTAGGCTAATCCTCCTGGTTCTAGTCCCGGTCGGGGCGCCAGATTCTGTCCCGGTTGCCCCTCTTCCAGGCCAGCTCTCTGCTGTGGCCCGGGAGTGCAGTGGAGGATGGCCCAGGTGCTTGGGCCCTGCACCCCATGGGAGACCAGGATAAGTACCTGGCTCCTGGCTCCTGCCATCGGATCAGCACGGTGCGCCAGCCACAGCGCGCCGGCTGCGGCGGCCATTGGAGGGTGAACCAACGACAAAGGAAGACCTTTCTCTGTCTCTCTCTCTCACTGTCCACTCTGCCTCTCAAAAAAAAAAAAAAAAAAGAATATTATTAAAGAGGTTTTCATGCACTACAGAAAAATAAGAACAACAGAAAGCAAATATGAAGGCAAGATTAGGAGTAAGCATTTGGCATAGCAGTAACACACTGTTTGAGGTACCATATCCCAAACTGGAATGCCTGGTTTGAGTCCTGGCTCTGCTCTCAATTCCAGCTATGGCCTGGGAAGGCAGTGGAGGATGGCCCAGGTCCCGGGGCCCCTGCACTTTCATTGGAGACCCAGAAGAAGCTTCTGGCTCCTGGCTTCAGATCAGCCCAGCTCTGGCCATTCAGGCCATTTGGGGAGTGAACCAGTGGATGGAAGATCTCTCTCTCTCTCTTTCTCTCTCTCTCTCCCTCTGTCTGCCTCTCCCTCCCTTCCTCTCTCAGTCTCTCCTTTTCTCTCTGTGTAACTCTGGCTTTCAAATAAATAAATAAATCTTTTTTTAAAAAAAAAAAGGCCCCTCAAGGAAGGACAGGTACCCCCTTTCCAGCTCAACACTCCAGCTTTCTGTCATCTCTTTTCTCTCGCTCTTCTTCCTATCTTTTGCCCTAAATACACTCAAAACCCTCCCCTAAAAAATGAAACATTTTCTCCACCTCATTATCCTATATAGATTATGTCCTATCTGTTCTACCCTTCACCGTCAAACTGCTGGGGAGAGGAGCGTCCGCGCGCCCTCCGCCCCATCCTTACCCCCAGCCAGCCCTGGGTGTCCTCCAGCACCTCTGTGCCGGCTGCCGGCCTCCGTGGCCTTGTCCCAAACCTCATCCTCGTTCTCTTCCAGCGCCCTTAGCCCTGCCCCTGCCTTCCTGCCCTTCTCAGCTCCTGTGATGCCCAGGAGTTTTCCCAACTTCCTGGCCATTCCTGCTCGTTGGTCACTGGGATGTTGATAAAACCTCCAAAATAGAGTGATAAGGTGAGAGTCCCTGCTTAGTGTCCCTAGTCAGGTGAAGCCACTCAGCTGGCTGTGAGACCCACCTCTTTGGTTTTTTTTTTTAAGATTTATTTTATTTGTTTGAAAGACAGAGTTAGAGGTTGAGACATAGAGAGTGGTTTTCTGTCTGCTGGTTCACTCCCCAGATCCGCAACGGCCGGAGTTACGCTGATCCGAAGCCAGGAGCCAGGAGTCTCCTCTGGAGACCCACCTCTTTAAAATTCCACCTGGAACGACTCGTCACCGAGGTTGATCAGGAAAACCTAACTCTGACAGGCAAAAATTGAAATTACCTGGGCACCATTTTATACTGGGGACTGCTTATTCCTACAGACTATCTGGGAACTTGGAGGGTGTCTATCAATTTATCTGTCCGAGTAAACCTTCTCTGATTGTATTAGAAACCAAAGCTTGCATTGGGGTCCTTGAAATAGATCTTCTAGAAAGATCCGCCTCACAAAGTATAAAGTGAATTGTATACAGAGAACTCTAGGAATTTTAAACATGATCAATGAACAGACATAAAATGAGGTCTGTGTGTGTGTGTGTGTTTTAAAGATCTATTTATTTACTCAAAAGCCAGAGTTACAGAAGAGGGAGGAGAGAGAGAGAGAGAGAGAGAGATCTCATCTGGGTCCCCCACATGGGGCCCAGCACACCCAGACCATTATCAGGGAGCTGGATTGGAAGTGGAACAGCTGGGACAAGAACCAGCGCCCTGCCAGTATCACAGCGGGTGGTTTTACCCACTGTGCCACAGTGCCAGCCTGAGGCTGCTGTGTTAACTACCAGTCCCTTCTTGTGTGGGTATTGGGGAAAACTGGTGGCTTTCATATTCCAAGTTCAGGTACCTGATTCTATTTCAGCAATATTTTCTGTCCCTTATTTTCTCACAGGGAAAGGTCATTTTCTGCGGGCTGGGAGCAGACTCTAGCCTCGCTTTTTCCTGTATACAGCACCCCAGTAGGCTTTTGTTCTCTTTCGGTTCTATTTTCAGGTGAATTTTAATCAGAGACACGGTGTGGTTGTCAGGATGACAGACCACACACAGGAACAAAACCTGGCTGAAGTGGTCAATAATCAGATCACATTTCAGCTTAGAATCTTCTTTATTAAGGAAAGTCCAACAGGCACTTTTGTTAACAGGCAGATACAAGACTGGCAAGAGCACCTTTCAAAGTCACAGCTCAGTTGCTTATGTGAGGTCGATTGGAAGGCAGAGATGGCAATCAACTGTTCAGCCTTATTCTTGCCGCTGGACCTCGCCCCGCCTCCTCTACTTCCCCCTCTGAAGGTGGGATTCGAGACGTGATACTAATCTAGACCTCATGCAGCACCAATTTTGACAGCAGACAAGGCGGCCACCCACGTGCAGGCTTGGACACAACAGTGCGCACGTTCTTTGTGCCAAACTTTCTCATCTCTGCTGTGTCTAGCTTAGATCTTGAAGTATCTGACCTTCCCTGGGCACGGGGTGATCACGGGGCCAGGGGCAGCGCCAACGCTAGGCTGCACCACCACGGGCACTTTCCCAGGGTGGAAGGCTTCTCCCGAGCCTGACTCCATCGAGGGCACCCCCGCGAAGGTTTGGCGCAGGTCGTAGTGCGCCCGGGGTGGGGCCGGGGCTTGTGCCACCAACACAGGCCCCACCACTAGGGAAGATGGGGACTGGCCATCTGGAGGGGACACAGGTGAAGCTGGGTCCACTGCTGGGGCTGGTTCCACTGCTGCTGCGCCAGCGACGTCTGGTTGGGGCTGTGGGACCACAGGCTGGAGAGAGGACCATTTCCATAGGTTAGCTCACTGGCTCCTCCCAGACAATCTACTTATGGGTCTGGGCACCCCCATGCCCAACTTCCTCATAGCAATGGTTTTTATTTGCAAGGCATCGGGCAATAAAGGAACCACCTATAAACTGACAAGAATCCTTTGTGCCTGAGTAATTCTTTTTTGTCCCAGTCTCCCCAGGATTATCTTGGTGACAGTGGGTTTACATACCCATGTCCCATGAGTAAAAGCACCCCACCTATGTCCAAACGTCAGCCTTGGTCATCTGTACCTGCAGCCATCTGTACTTCCCACCCCTTGGAAAACCACTCCCACCTCCCACACATGAAAAGGTAGCCTTGTCAGCTCCACAGGAGAAGGGGTCTGTCCCGCAGTGACATCTTCATGGGGGAGGGGGAGGCTCAAACAGCCTTGCGTTTGGAGATGATGCCAATGATGACATGGTGAGGTTCAGAACGGGACAGCAAAGTACCATAAATACGATGCATTGCATAAATGTGAGGGGTCATTGCACTCAGGAAGGTGCAGACAAGAATATCCATGTAGCTGTTACCTGGGCTGGGAATATGGTACAGGTCACCTCCACCTCTTCTCTAGCAACCTTCTCAGCGACCGTTGCCTTACAGAAGCCATATTGCTGTCCACAGAAAAACAGCAGCGTTTTCAATGGGCTTCCAAACAGATTCCCCTCCCCCGGCTCACTTAAATCCAAATGTAACTTGCTCTTAAAGTTTATGATTTTTGCTTCCAGACAGTCTACAACTTGTCACCATACATACAAAGAAAATGCAGAAATACTTGGAGAGTGACAGAGGTCACCCATAATTCCCCAGGAAATGAAACTAAAAAGTTCGTTTTGGTGCAACCTTATGTTTTTAAATTTATGCAGATTTTTTTATTAAAAAGTTTGTGGAAAATGCAGAGTATAAAAGAACTACTCATGAATTTCAACCTTTTGTGCACCAAAATAAGCTCATCTTTTAACTCCATTTCTCATGAATGTTTTTCAGTATCCTTGTATAATTTAAAAATTGAGATTGAGTAAACAAACCATTTTGTGTCTTACAGCATCTTCTCACATCATTCATCATTCTTTGAAAACATAATTTTTAGTGCCTGCATCCTTTCCTATTTACTGACATGCTATATATATTTTTCTGTGACGCTCTCTTGTTAGATACTTGATTTTTTTAGTCATTTGTATCTGTGATAAATCATTTTTATAAATATATTTCTGTCAAACATCTCTGATGATTTTTCAGACTAGAAGTGGACAGTATTGGCTTACAGACTTGAAAGCTTTTGTATCCGAGGTACAAATTTGTCTAGGAAATCTACATTTCGCACTCCCAGTAGCTGGGCACAACTTGGCTTCATTAAGAAGTTGCCTGTCTCTGGCCTGAATCCATGTGCCTCCAGTGTACAAGTTCAAGTGGTGACAGCTCTAAAGGGGGGGTGACATCCGGAGGAAGGCCTGGCATGACCTGGTCCCCAGGGAGGGGGATTTTACACTGTTGTTCTTTTACCATAGCCCCAAGGGGCAGCCTCCGAAAGGCTGCGGTGTCTTGCAGCCAGCTCCGCCTGCGTGGTGGCAGCCCCAGGTCCCCGCCACTCACCTTGTCCGCCAGCAGGTTGCATTTGGCCGGATCGGTGACCTCTTTAGCAACACAGTCAGTGGCAGCCACGGTGAACTCCACATAGGTGGAAGCTGGGAGAGGCTGATGAGAGTCAATGAAAATGCCCGTGAGGCATTGCGGCTTTGAATGAAAGCAGTAGGGAGGGAGAGGCTGCAGGGAAGCAGCCGGGGCCACAGCGGACTTCACACAACTTCTGGGAGCACCATCCACGTAGACCACATTGTGTGGCCCAGGACACGTGCCTCTGAATGGCTGGCAACAGGCAGTTGTCGGGGAATTGCGTTCTAACGGCAGCTAGTCCTACAGAGGTAGGAGCTGGGGCTCCAGCCCACCATGTAGGGTGCAGGTGAGCTTTCAGACAGGAAACAGAAATCAGGAGGTCAGCCTTAGACTGACATGAATGAGAACCTTGCCTGCCCCTGGCCTTCACTCCTGTGGCTGCACTTGGAGATCCAAGGTGGAGGTTACTCCTGTTGGGGTGTGAAAGTGAATTCACACCACTCCCACCTAATTTCATAGAGCAGGATCACACGGAACCATCGGACGAAAGGACGCACGCTAACACTTGTGCTTTTCTTGCTTATAATATTTGCAGTATGTGGACACTCGCAAAAATAAACTATCGGTTATTTGGTGCAGTCTGCAATGGGGATTTTCTGCCACCTATACTAACATATGTCCAAGTATGCCATGGCTGGTGTCCCGAACACCAGTCGTCTGAAGAGTTAGAATGCTGTTGCTTTCAAGTGCCCAAGGCACCTGCAGTACAAACAGCTTTTTCCCCCTCAGTGATTCCAAAGGCATTTCGGGACCCTGCCATTGCATGTCTAGAAGGGTCAGTAGGTTCATGCCTTTGCAAGTACTAATTGCAAGGCTGTCACAGATGCTCAGCGGCGATGGGTGACACATGCATGGAGACCAGTGTACCAGCAGGCAGCACCACTGGATAATGGGGGAATCTCCACCTGCTGAACACGGAGCCCTGGTTTTAGCAGGAGCCAGGGGAGTGGGATACTCCTGGCTGCAGAGAATTAGGGGATCCTAATGACATCCGGGGACCCAGGGACTCTTTTTGTCCCCTTTCCAACAGGACCCTTCTTGCCTTCCGGTTGTTGCCCCGATCCCTGTTCTGCTGCCACCCCTGCTTTGCCACACGCTTTTCCCGAGTGTCACCAAACTGCCCAAGCTGTCCAGAGCGTCTCAGTCTTTACCACAAGCTGAGCCCGGGCGATCTCCACCAGCTGCAGATAGGCGCCGTTGTTCTTCTCGTTGAAGGCTGTCAGGGCGGCTTCGGCGGCTTGAGCCACTCTGGTGTCGTTCAGCGGGGTCAGCAGGGGGCAGTCTGGGCACAGCTTGAGTATGTCCTCAGCCGAGTCTGCGGACGGAAACAGGAATCTACCCGACTCTCCCTGGTGTGTACCCTAGCCATGTTGACTTCTGGCATTTTCTCTGCATCCGCCTAACCCTTCATGTGGCGCGGTCATGCTGTCACCAGGAAATAATTCTCACCTCCAGTGAGAGCAGCGCCTTCAAAACAGGTGTCAAGTCCCAGCACCCAGGACGTGGGGCTTCTCTTTGACTCACTGACCGAGTGCCTACGACTACTTAGGTTGAAAACTATCCAGATAGTTCTTCCCCCACGCTCTCGAAACGGAAGGGTAAACCGACTCTACCTGGAGTGGAGTCACACTTCGCAGACAACACGGTGAACTGGCCGTCCTGCTTCAGCACATGGAAGTCGCAGTCTCCTTCCACAGCCTGGAGAGAGAACCCCACCGTGAGAACCCAGCGGAGGCTCACTGGGCGGGCACCGCCGGGCCCAAAAGCACCGACACTGACACCCTCCGGTTTCTGGGACTGCTACAGCAAGAATGTTGGGCTGTTGCAAAACTCAGTCCCAGTGTCCGCGCTGTGGCACAGCGGGTAAAGCCGCTGCCTGCATGCTGGCATCCCATATAGGCCCTGGTTAGAGATCCGGCTCCTCCACTTCTGATCCAGCTCTCTGCTATGGCCTGGGAAAGCAGTGGAAGATGGCACAAGTGCTTGGGTCCCTGCACCTGCGTGGGAGACCCAGAGGAAGCTCCTGGCTCCTAGCTTCGGATCAGCTCAGCTCTAGCTGTTGCAGTCACTTGGGGAGTGAACCAGTGGAATGGAAGACCTCTCTCTCTCTCTGGCTCTACTTTTCTCTGTAACTCAAATAAAATAATTTTCTCTCTCTCTTTATAGATATAAAATATATATGATATATATTATATATTTATATATAACATATACTCTTCATACATATATTTATATATATGTATATATATAAAGCAGGACTGCTCCAGGAATTCCATATTTTGAAATTCAAAAACTATCCATGCTTAAGCAGAGGGAAATGCTAATGACTGGGACTTCAGTATTCCATGCTGCATACACATATCATGTTTTCACCCTGTGCCCAACAAATGTGCACATTATTAAAATAAATTGTCAGTTAAAAATACTGAATATAGTGAAAGAAAAAATACAACGGCTTAAAAACATGGGCCAGGTCTTCACTGACCCACAGAGGAAGCGTGGCACCTGCAGAGGGACACTCACATGCTGTGTCACCTGCCTCACGCTGCAGTTTGCCAAGGGAGTGGGGTCCAGTGCGTGGCAGGTGGTCTCCAGCGTGTCTATTTCAAGCTCATACACCTCTCCGGTGGGTCGCTGTGGAGACACAGAACAAAGAGATGAGCAGCTCATGCCCCTGATCCTGTTCTGCAGTCGGAGGGGAAGTCCGGGTGGGCGTGGACCCTCCCCAGTTTCAGAGAGGTGAAGCGCAAGTCATCCGTGCTGTAGTCTGCGGCTGTGTCTGACTCTGACCCGGCCCGTGCACAGGGCAATGCTCGGGCTTCTCTCATCTTCTTCTGTTGGCTGGGAAGGAGAGTAGGCTTGGACAAGCTGATGGAGCTGCTCTGCAGAAATGAGTGTTAACACGGATTTTTTTCATCTTTAAAATTTTACCCTTAGTTAAGCTGCAAAGTAAGGTGGTGTAGCACAATACCTTCCTGTCTTTCCTTTATCTTCATTCCTCCTTCTACTATCCTTCCTTTGGCTGTTTCCCTGCATGAAAGGGGTTTTTGTTTTGGTTTGCGACTCTTTGCTGCATGCAAAGATGCTGCTCTCTGCTGCCGCCTGCTGGTGATAAGAGGGGTAGCGCAAGTCAACCACTAGACTGAGGAAAAACCATGCTCACAGGAACAGTGGGGGACTTAGGGAGAAACTCACGTAGCTTCTTGGGGTTGTTCTTGCCAGTTCGCCTGTTCACCTATCCTTTCTTCGAATCTTGGAAAATCTGGAGGGCACAAGTCTGCCTTTTCCCTGCCAGCCCAGCTCTGCTTGCCTCCTGGGTGGCTGTGCTGACCCACGGGCACCTGAAGGTGAGGGTCAGACTGGCCCCTTCTGCAGGAAGCTCTCAATTTTAATGCCAAAGTCACTTCCTGGAAACACTCTGAGCTGCAGTGGATGGGGGTTTCTCAAGGGATGCCTTTAGTGAAAATCACGGTGCCGGCTCACCCTCTTCTCCCTCCCTTGTGTGTAAATTTCCCCAGAACCGGTGGGTGTTTCTTCTCAACCACTGTTCACACTGGGGGCCTGGCTGCAGCACTCTTAAACCCACCCAGGGCAACCCATTCTTCAGACACCTGCCGTCGGTGAGACACCCTGTCGTGTGCCTTGTTCTCCTTCCTAGTCTACAGATCCCTTGCAGGCACTAACTGTGTCTTCACATCTTTGCATCAGCTCGAACCCCTGAAAGTGCCAGTGGCTGGCTGCTTTGATGTAAAAAATGACAATCTTACGTGGTTCAACCCAGCAGCTCCCCTAGCACCTGCCACCAGCTCATGCCCAAAGAATGATTGCAATAACTGCACACTGACAGACTCTGCCTTAATCAGGTATAAAATTTAACTTCTAAACAGGCAGTAACAGGTGCCTTCTTCCTCCCTCTCCGGATCACTCCACTGGCCCCCCAGGCTTCGTTCCACCTTGGTGTGTATTGTCACTAGCTTTAGGCTGCATGGATCTCTTGTCCAGCGTGTGAGGAAGTGAATTCTCTTCACACCAATGCTTCTGTATGGGATGAGGGACTCTCTCTCCCTCTCTCGGAGGCAGCTTGTATAGAGGGAAGAACACAGGTTTGGGATTGAATCCCCTGCTGGATGCTTACTAATTCTATGACCATGGGCCTTGGGCAAAGAATGGCTCAATGCATCGGAGCTTTGGTTTCCACTTATGTAATACAAGGACAATGTATCTCCTGCACCAGAGTTTGGGGGTGGGGGCGTGAGCTGAGCTATGCGAAAAGGCCTGGCACACAGGAGGCACTTGTCAAATGCTCATTTCATTCACTCGCAGTCTTCATCAGAGAGGAATGGAAGACAAAAACAAAAAAATTTCTGGTCAGTGATTTGGGGCAGTTATAACTTAGCAGTTCTAACTCAGCGGGTCCCTTGAGCCCTGGTTTTTCCAGCAAGGCACACGGTCCACTTGGAATCTGCAGAATGCTGTATCTCCTGCACCTGGCCCCACTCCTCACCCCGCACCTTCCCTGAGGCCCATGACTGCCACACAGAGGGTCCCTCTCCCACCCTCCACCTGGCCCTTCCATCACTCCCAGCAAGTGAGGAGAGTTTACCGCTCTGGGTTCACCAGTGCTGATCCTTGGGCGCACTGGGTTGAGCTCCAAGCCCAGGTTCTTCCAGCACACGCACAGCAGGTCCACTTACCCGGGGCCACACCTTCACCTTGTCGATCCGGTTCAGGATGTGCTTGTACCCCTGCTGAAGGTGATTGTTGATGTGGTCCACAGCCAGCAGGGCCACCTGCTCTGCTTCTGGGTCATCACAGTTTGGTTCCCTGTAACCCAGCAGTGGGACAGCTGTGACCAAGTGGCAGCTCCAGAGCTGAGCGAGGGAAAGGAGTAGAACGAGGGACTTCATGGCTGCCCCCAGAGACTCCCTGGCAGGTGGGCAAGTGGCTGGAGGCTTCAGAACCAACCCTGTGCTGGGCAGGGTGGGCCGATGGCGGGGCGGAAGGCTTTATTTATCTGTTGGAGCATGTCAGAGGAGTTGCATAAAGACATGGGATGATTTCTGTTCTGGTTCCAAAAAAAAAAAAAAAAAAAAAAATCCTGCAAACATCAGCTCCAGAAAAGCAAACAGGTTAGGACATCGCTAGACTCCAAGAAATCTGCCAAAGTCAACGCCACTGCGTGGGAGAGGCTCCAAAGTCTGCTTGGAACATGGGAGCAGCAGAGGTGGCTGAGGGGATAAGGGGACACGGCCAGCCCCCAGTGCGGTGCGTTGGGCAGCAGCAGGGTCCTCCATGGTGATCTGAGCATGCCAGGGGCTCTGGGAGGGAGAAGGGGATGATGAGCGATTTGATGAAATTCTCTGATGTCAGAGGGATTATCCCCTCTGAGAGGTGGAACATGGCCCACAGGTATAGCAAAGGTGCAGGTGATCTTGTGAGATGCTAAGATCCTGAGAAAGGGCCTTGGCAAGAAGAAGAAAGGGAGGGAGAGGTTTCTGCCTAAAGTGGGGAATGGAGGTGAAAGGAGGGGGTCCCTGTGGCAGGGCCAACAAAGCAGTGTGGAGGTCCCCACCCCCTCACCGCCGGGGCCCTGCAGTGACAACACAAGCAGCCACTAACCTTGGCATCCTGGGTGGCCGAGAGTGATTGGCGCCAGTAGTCCCAACCCCCAGCCAGTGCCCAGGTGCAGTCCTGGCCTAACAGCCACTCATTTGACAAAGCTCTGGGTTCGAGTTCCCCTCTGCAGGCTGAGATGCTGTAGGGGCAGGTAGGAATCCAAACACTCCAACACCCTCTGCAGCCTTGGCAGAGGGAGATAGCTTGTCTTTCTGGACAGAACACAGGGCCACGGCGCCTTTTAAGTGGCCCTTGCCCCTCCAAGCTGTGGTTCCCAAGGAGGCCAGATGGGACAGTGGGAGGCCCTGGGGAAGACCAGAGGAGTGAGGGCAAGGAGGCTCCGACATGGGGACCCATGTGCTCTTCTGATTCTTGCAGGTCCTTGTTGCATGGCGGTTGGATTTTGCTTCAGAGAACAACACCTGGTTGAAACACAGGAGCAGAGAAAGAGGGCGGCCCTAAGGGGAGGCTGAGTGGTGCTGACTGGCTGGGGTGCAGCTGGGGCGCAGACAAGACAGAGCCAAGAGCAGCTTCCGCATTTCTTCCAGGGGCTCACTCTCACCCAGAACCACAGTGACAGGGCTCAGCAGGTGCAGGCCAGACTCCAGAGATGCGCTGTGGCTCTTAGCGACACAAAACAGGCTCTGGTCATCTAGCAAGGGGACCAAGGTGATCCTCAAAATCGGGCCAGCCTCCTGCCATCAGCCATCCACCCCGCTGTCTTCATGCCTAGGCTGAGGAGGCTGTGCTTTGCTCTGAAATAATCTGGAGAAGTCCTAACTACAGTCATGATTGAATATTTGGGGTTTTCTTTTTCTTTTTCTTTTCTTTTTTTTTTTTTTTTTTTTTTTGACAGGCAGAGTGGACAGTGAGAGAGAGAGAGAAAGGTCTTCCTTTGCCGTTGGTTCACCCTCCAATGGCCGCCGCGGCCGGCGTGCTGCGGCCGGCGCACCGCGCTGATCCGATGGCAGGAGCCAGGAGCCAGGTGCTTCTCCTGGTCTCCCATGGGGTGCAGGGCCCAAGCACCTGGGCCATCCTCCACTGCACTCCCTGGCCACAGCAGAGAGCTGGCCTGGAAGAGGGGCAACCGGGACAGAATCCGGCGCCCCGACCGGGACTAGAACCCGGTGTGCCAGCGCCGCTAGGCGGAGGATTAGCCTAGTGAGCCACGGCGCCGGCCCCGGGGTTTTCATTTTTTATAAAAAGTTTTACAGAGTTATGGGACAGCAGGGGTCAGGGCGGGGAGTGGCAGGGGGAGGAGAGCTTCTATACTCTGATTCACTCCCCAAATGGCCACAATAGCCAGGGCTGGGCCAGGCTGAACCGAGAGCCTAGAATTGTCTCCTGGTCTCCCAAGTGGCTGGCAGGGGCCCAAGCCTTGGGCCACCTTCCACTGCCTTCTCAGCTGCATTGGCAGGGAGCCAGATTGGAAGCAGAGCAGCCAGGACTCAAACCATCCTTTATATGGAATGCCAGCATCTCGGGCTGTAGCTTAACCTGCTGCACCACAACGCCAGCAGCACGACTGAATATTTTAAAATTATGAAAAACATGGGGCCAGTGCTATGGCACAATGGGTTAAGCCACCACCTGCAATGCTGGCATCCCATATGGGCACTGGTTCAAGCCCTGGCTGCTCTACTTCTGATCCAGCTCCCGGCTAATGCAACTGATAAAGCAGCAAAAGGTGGCCGAAGTGCTTGGGCCCTGCACCCATGTGGGAGACCTCCTGGCTCCTGACTTTAGACGAGCTCTGGCCATTGCGGCCATTTGGGGAGTGAACCAACAAATGAATATTAAAAAAAAAAAAAAAACATGCAAAGCATTCAGTGAGGGCATATTTCCTGAGTAACAGGCTCAAGAGTCTTTTATGTTCTATATCCCTATTGAATTTCCTTTTTTAAAGAAGATTTTATTTATTTATTTGAGAGGTAGAGTTACAGACAGAGAAAGGAAGAGACAGAGAGAAAGGTCTTCCATCTGCTGGTTCACTCCCAAATGGCCACACAGGGTGGGGTTGGGGTGTGTGGGGTGTGTGGGGTGTGTGGGGGTGTGCCTGGGCCAATAGGAAGCCAAGAGCTTCTTCTGGATCTCCCACGTGGTGCAGGGACCCAAGCACTTGGGCCATCTTCCACTGCTTTCCCAGACCACAGCAGAGAGCTGGATTGGGAAGTGGAACAGCCAGGACTTGCATCGGCACCCATATGGGATGCCAGCAAGGTAGGCAGAGGCTTAGCCTTCTAAGCCACATGCCAGTCCCTTGAATTTCTTTTGTGAGAATTTAATCTTGTCATTTCCAGTCATCCTGATTGCTCCAACACTCAGGATGAAGGCCACTCCCACTTAGGCCTGTCTTCCCCTCCTGCTTCATCCCCTGGAGCTAAAAATAAGCCTGCGTGGCCAAAGGGGTGATTTTACACCACTGCCTCTTTAGTCCAGGGCGGAAAGGGGTGTCACCCTTGCCTTGTGCTGTCAGGGCCTCCCTGGTGTCTTCTGCAGGCTGACGCATCCCATGTGGTCCCCCAGCAGGGCCACCTGCCAGCCAGGGTCCTGCTTGCCCCATCCAATCCACAGTGAGACGATTGGGGTCCCTCACTCCAGCTCTGAGAGCCCTTCTAGACCACAGCCCCTTCTTTAAAGCCTGTGAAAATGTGACTGCCAGGCCCACACGAGGGGGAGGGGCTCCACGAAGCTGCCTTCAAGGCCGAGGGCCCAGGCATTCCATGCAGTCGCGGCCACTCCACCTTCCTGGCGCCGCCGGCCTGCTGCCTGCGATAAGGCGATGAGATGATGAGACTGAGACGTCTCCGGCACTACCCCTCCCCGGAAGTGACCTTGGGTCTCCTCCACCGCGTCTGGGGGTGGTGCTGTTGCATCCCGGCCAGAGAGCATGGGGAGGAAGAATTTCCGTCTGGATCCTCTCTGTTTTTGCTGTCTTACACTCGGAGGCGTTTATGGTACCATCATTTTTGGATCACCCATCAGTGAGGATCTGCAAATCATTCGGTATGTAGCTGATGCTAGATTCTGGTCTGATTAAGTGTTCGTCTGAAGAGAGAAAACCAAGGCACACATAAAAAGCCGAAGCTGGCACCCGCCGATCTCACACACACAAACAGGAGTACAAAAGCCACCTCTGCAGAACCAGTCTTCCCACCTCGGTGCGTTTGCGGCTTGTCCTGTTTTCTATGCCAAAGAGTTGTATTGTTTTACTATAATTTAGCTCATTCTGCGTATGTGTGTGTATGTGTGTGTGTGTGTGTATATATTCTTTTTTAATTTAACCTTTATAACTTGACTGTTTTCCCTTGTTATTAAATTAAAAACGTGCTTATACCTGGCAGTTAAGATGCCCATGTCAGGGCCACTATTGCAGCGTAACAGGTTAAGTTGCTGCCTGCAACACCAGCATCCCATTTCTGGTCCAAATCCCGGCTGCTCCATTTCCAATCCAGCTCTCTGCTGATGAGCCTGGGAGGGCAGCAGAAGACAGCCCAAGTGCTTGGACCCCTGTACCCACTTGGGAGACACGGACGAAGCTCCTGGCTCCTGCCTTTGGCCTGACCCAGCACAGGCCATTGAACCTCTTTGGAGAGTGACCCAGTAGATGGAAGATCAATCTCTCTCCCTCTCCTTTTCTCTCTCTAACTCTGCCCTTCAAATAAATAAAACCAATCTTAAAAAAAAAAAAAAATGCCATGTCCCATATTGGTTTTGGTACCTGGGGTTGATACCTGTCTCTGGCTTCTGACTCCAGCTTCCTGCTGATACAGACTGGGAGGAAGTGGTGATGGCTCAAGTAATTGGGTTCCTGTCACCCAAGTGGGAGACCTGGGTAGCATTCCAGGCTTCTGGGTTCTGCCTTACACCCTGGCCTTCCATTGCTCTGCCACTTAAGAAATGAACCAGCAGATTCTGCCTCTCTGCCTCTCAAAACCAACAAAGCAAGCTTATAATGACTTCCTGTTATTCTCCATGTTGGGCAGTTTGTTCTCAATTGCTCATTATCCTATAGAAAGCTACAAAGCTTTGGCCTGGTGGTACTCTCAGGGCTGGGACCCCTGCATCTCCTACTGCAGTACCTGGGTTTGAGTACAAGCTCCCGATTTCTGCTTTTTGCTAATGCATACCTCGAGAGGGCAGGAGATGGCTCTCAAGTACTTCGATCCTTCCCACCTGTGTGGGACACCCAGCTTGGATACCTGGCTTGGATCTGACCTAGCCTCGGCCATTGTGGGCAACTGGACAGTGAACCAGTGGGAGCTTTCTCTTTCTGTGTTTGTCTCTCACTCTGTCTCTCTATCTCTCAAATAAATTTAAACAAACAAACAAAAACTTTTAAAGCTGTATTGAATTCTTTTATTCCAGAATCCATGGCTTTATAGTTTTTTCTCCAGGATAGATTCTTAGAAGTGAAATTCTTTATTTAAATTATATGGACATTTCGGCCGGCGCCACGGCCCACTAGGCTAATCCTCCGCCTTGCGGCACCGGCACACCAGGTTCTAGTCCCGGTCGGGGCACCGGATTCTGTCCCGGTTGCCCCTCTTCCAGGCCAGCTCTCTGCTGTGGCCCGGGAGTGCAGTGGAGGATGGCCCAGGTCCTTGGGCCCTGCACCCCATGGGAGACCGGGATAAGTACCTGGCTCCTGCCATCAGATCAGCGCGGTGTGCCGGCCACAGTGCGCTGGCCGCAGCGGCCATTGGAGGGTGAACCAACGGCAAAGGAGGACCTTTCTCTCTGTCTCTCTCTCTCTCACTGTCCACTCTGCCTGTCAAAAAAAATTATATGGACATTTATTTGAAAATACTGATTTTTTTATTTGAAAAGCAGTTACAAAGGCAGAGGCAGAGAGAGAGAGAGAGAGAGAGAAATCTTCCATCCACTGGTTCACTTCCCAAATGGCCGCAATGGCCAGACTGGGCCTTTCAGATGCCAAGAGCCAGGAGCTTCTTCCAGTCTCCCACAAAGGCGCAGTGACCCAAGGACTTGGGCCATCTTTTACTGCTTTCTCAGGCCATCGCAGAGAGCTGGATCAGAAGTGGAGCAGCCTGCACTCAACTCGGCACCCACATGGGATGCTGGCACTGCAGGCGGCAGCTTTACCCGCTACACCACAGTGCCGGCCCCAGATATGGACTTTAAAAAAAAGAAAAAGATTTATTTATTTGAAAGGCAGAGAGAGAGGAAGACACACACACACACACACACACACACACACACAGAATCCTCCATCTGCTAGTTCACTCCCCAAACGGCCACCACATCCAGGGCTGGGCCATTCCAAAGCCAGGAGCCTGGAACTGCATCTGGGCCTCCCACATGGTTGACAAGGGCCCAAGCACTGGGTCATCCTCCGCTGCTTTCCTAGGCACATTAGAAGGGAGCTGAGTCGGAAGTGGAACAACCAGGACTCAAATCAGCGCTCCTATATGGGATGCAGCATTGCAGGTGGCAACTTAACCTTCTGTGCCACAGTGCCCTCCCAATATGAACATTTTTAAAGCTGTTCATTTCTTTTTTAAAAGAATATTTGTTTATTCAAAAGTCACAGTTATAGAGAGAAAGAGAAGGAGACAGAGAAAGAGGGGAAGAGCTCTTCCATCTGCTGGTTCACTCCCCAGATGGCCACAATGGCCAGGGCTAGACCAGGCCAAAGCCAGGAGCCAGGAGCTTCTTCCAGGTCTCCCACATGGGTTCAGGGGCCCAAGCACTTGAGCCATCCTCTGCTGCTTTCCTAGGCCTTTAGTAGCAAGCTGGATCAGAAGTGGAGCAGCCAGGATTCGAACCAGCGGCTATATGGGAGGCCAGCATTGCAGGCAATGGCTTACGTGCTGCGCCACAGTGCCAGGCTCAACGCTGTTCATTTCTGTCATTAAATTGTCCATCAGAAAGGCTATGTAAATTTATACACCTGATATTTAGTTGGCACGTTAAATCAGCTCAGCTGGTTTCTCTTTTCCTTTGCTACTGCTTCCATGCTAACTACGGTGGGAACTCAGACACGGGAAACTCACCAGCACTGTTTGTTAACAGTGCATTTTATGAATTGGCTTTATTGCCACCACTCTATATGCCCAACATGCAATATCCTAAAACAGCTTTGGTGTCAAGCTGAACAAAACAATCCCTGACTTGGGGGGTTTTTTGGTTGTTGTTTCCTTAGAAATAAACATTGCCATTTACTCACTGACATTGAAGGGGGAACACCGATGAGATTTTGGGGTTTTCCGAGACAGCTGTAGCATTGGCCCCCCAGGGAGCTCTGGGTGTTTCCCTGCGCCTGAAGACACCAATTCCACACTTCAGGAGATTTTCACACGCCGAATGCGTGTCAGCGGACTGACCCATGAGCCATTTGGGTCAGCTTCAGCCAGCTGCCCGCCAATCCCAGACAGGGAGGTAACTCTAGTCCCCCATGTGCTTCGTTGTTTTTATTCCTCAGCTGCGCATTTTCCTGGGCGTTCACACTAACTGCTCTGTGGCCGCGTGTGCTGGCTCTCAGGGGCTCGTGGCCGTGGGCTGTGGGGAAGTCCAGGGAGCAGCGGAGGCCGGGTCAGCTCCGGAGCGGGCAGCAGGGCTCGGGCAGCGCCGGCGGGGTGGAGCCTGCCCGGGGCTGGCGGTGGCGGGCTCAGGATGGCTGCCGGGGAAGGCGCCAAGCTTCTGCACTTCGCAAAGGGGCTCTTCGCTCTCTCTCTAACTCTTTCAAATAAAGAAAATCAATCTTAAAAATTAAAAGCTCTTCAGCGAGGAGGCACGGGGGCGGACGACTGTCCCGAGGAAGATTGCAGGAGCCTGGACAGAAAGGACCAGCTAAGTGCAGGATTTCTTGCAGGTTGGTTCTGTCCGTGGCCCTGAAAGCGGACAGGGGTCTAGGAGGAGAAGGCTCGAGCCAGAAGTGGCTGGAACATCACCTCCTGCAGGGAGAGCGGAGGTGAAAACTCGACACCCAGCCTCTCTTCCAAAACACAGCAGGAACAAGTGCACGCCAGCAAACGGCGGAAGACTGATTGGTTGTGCAGGGAGGAAGTAGCCGTGGTTGGTGTGTGAGTCTTTGGACCAGATTCCTGGTTCTGCCCTTTCTGTTACTTAAAGGGCCTAGGCCCTGGGAGGGCTGGCTATAAATTTCTGCTAAGCCTGGTTTCTTCATTCTTAGGTTCAGTGGACTAACAGTGATGGCGCACCTCCCGCCTGGAGTGTTAGGCGCCTGGACACAAAGTCAAGAGAAGACCCCATCCTGCCGGGAAAGGAGCTCACCCCTGCTCGTTTGGCCCAGCGAAGAGCAACTCACATTAAGTCATTATACAAAGTCATCAGCGCGTCTGTCCTGAGAAGACAGACCGGGGTTTATTTCTCCAATGGAAAACATCGACCCATGGAATGCAAATTACTCTTGTCCAAGCACCTATCAGGCTTCTGGTGAAGGAAGCTTAGCGCCAGTTGCCCTGGAAGGCCTCAACAGTCATTTGGAAGAGCCCTTTGTACTCAGTGCCAAGGCATCACAGCTGGAAGACATGGGCCTGACCACGGCATGGCAAATACGGTTAAACCACAGTGACCTGAGGTGATTGCTTCTTTTCTGGGGGTGGGAAAAGCCTCCCCCCAAATTTGCCCCCATAACCATGACCCGGCTCTGCAAATCCAGATCCCCAAAGGAACGGCACTGGAGTGCATGTAAGAGGAGAGGCAGAGAAAGGTGCGGATTCGAGGGGGGCCGAGAGAGGGGGAGGGTGCAGTGCTCAGGGAGGCGCACCTGCAGGGACACTGCTCACTCAGCTTTGTGACCATGGCCCTTCCTGTGCTGCATCCCAGTGCATCCCTGGGGAAGAGGCAGAGTACAAGCCTTGCGTGGGACGAGCAGCGTGAACTTCCTCGACTCTGCCCTTCCGAGGGGCGTTCCTTTGCCATTTGGGCTGGCGATCCCATGTGTGAGATGGGACTCGAGGACCCGGTGATCCTCATTGTGGGCTTTTTAGGACCACGAAGGCAGGGTGGGAAACCTCCCACTCGCTTTGGTTTGAAAGAAGACTTCCTCCTGTGTGCTGTTCATGGTGGCCTTGACACCCACTCAAATGTTCCGAAGCATCACAGATAGGTGAAAGAAGTGAGGAGAGCTGAGCTTTCCCAGGGGAGCTGCACCTCCCCAGGAAATCGGCGTCTTTGTCATAGCGAATGTTGTTGACTCTTAGTTCTGAAAAGCCACAGAGCCTTTTCATCCTCCCTCCTTTACCAAAAAGAAAAGAAAACAGAGGTGCAGGTTCTAGAACTTCTCCACATCACATTCCAAGCAATTGGTCGAGCCTGGATTTCTTCCAATACTTAGTAAAAGCCAGCAAATCATTCTCACAATAGAAAACATGGCTGTTTCCTATATTTGAAAAGAAAAACTAAAGAAATAGAAAAATATATTGAGTTTGGTTAATAATCGAAAGGCTACAAAAAGGAGTTTGGCCACATAACATCAGTTGAAAATATCTGGGGCAATCAATTTTTCAGAAAAAACTTTCACCTGTTGACTTTAGTGCTGACTCAGCCAGTGGTGAAGTGATGTCAAATGCAGGTTTAGAAGGTAAATATAAGTGGTAAATGATTACCCTGTTTCTAGTTAGATGTTTTTCAGGGAACTGCCAGTCAGGGTAGAGACATACATCCACTACTTAGGCGGGGTTCCGACAGCAGCTCCAAAGCCAGGTGAATGAGTGGCACTCTTCAGACAGGAAGGAAGAGGAGAGGTGGACCTGTTGTCTCCCAATGAGTCCCATATGTGCTTGCTGGGGCCTTGGACAGGGAGATGTTCAGGATAGCTGTGGCCTTGCCGTTGAAATTTGTCCTGGGGCTGCTTGAGTCAAGTAACTCGAACCTTATTACATTCGGGCACTTCTGTATCCAGCCTGTGGACTATGGGGGTTGCAAAGGGTCCTTTCATCCCAATTGTGAAGATTCTGTGGACCCATTTATTGACATGTGTTGAGTCTTCTCTGACACATATTCCTTAACTTCAAAACTATTTCGTAGACATTCCACTGTGCTAGGTGTTAAGGAAACACAGAGGGAAGGTATCATTCTTGTCGGCCAGATGCTCACTCTAGTAGTTGTAGGAACACACGAGAAAAGTGTAAGCGGTGGTTCTTGCCCTCTGCCTGCATTAAATCCAGCAGAACAATTCTCCAACTTGCACGCGGGGGGGCGGGGGGGCCCTCATCGGAAAGCAGGGTCGATGTCATACTCAATCTTGTGTCCCCGACTCCTGCCTCCCACCCAAACAGGCTCCCTCACTGAGGGCTTCCGGACCAGACTCCACTCAGTGCAGGCCCCCCTGCAGCGTGTTTGAGGGTGTCCAAGTCCAGGAACCTCTCTACTCTGGAAGTCCATTTCATTGTTGAATGACTCAGGTTACTAGGAATGTCCTCCTCCTGTGGAAGCAACACCTGCCCACCTTGTAACCTCCTAGATGGACCCAGATTCGACCCCAGGAACTGCACAGGCAAGTTCAACTACAGGCTGAACCCCTGATTTCCATGTTGGGACCCAGGGATTTAGAAAGAGCTCTGTTGTGTTCTGTTGCCCTTCTGTGTTCTTTCTGTTCTCAGATGAAGTAGCTTTGGGTCAACCTCATCATTCTATTGAATAGCCAAGAGGTGCACCACTGGTTCAGCAATAGGATGAACCATCTTGCGATCAGGAGTCAAATTCCTTACGTAGTAGTTCTCCCAGTGGGTGAGAACTTGGGTACGCAGGTGTGGACCAGCGGACAATTTGAGAATCACGAGACGGAGTTTGGCCAGCTGCTGACGTCCTGGTTTCCAGAGGCTTATCTGGACCCTTAAAAGGATTAAGAATGGAATCAGCAAGTGGGTCGTTCTCCTCCCTGACTGGGCTTCGGGCATGAGGAGAGAGGGGTTGGGGGCTAATGCAAGACCTGGACAAGGGAACTAAGCCTCCTGCTTGTCCCGAATCTGGCGAGGCCCTCTGTGGGGAGCATTTTCTTCACTCTTTGTTGTCTGACCCCTTGAACACACTTAAGGACGTGGGAAATCTTTGCTTCTGGTGTTCCTGTGTCAACTTATGAGTGCAAAGAGCCAGCCCTGCAATGTGAGCAGTTTCCTCTGTGCTGGAATTGTACAACAGGCAGTCCCATCGTGTTCTGGGTTAAGCAACAGATCGAAGCTCCAGGCCTCAGTTTCTAATGGAACTAGTGGGAAGACAAGGGTAATACGGAGAGAGGCCGGATGTGTGGGGACAGGTGCGTGGGAGAAGCTCACCTTGGTTAGGGACCCTACATTTAGAGTGAGTACAGACACACAGCCAGACTCTGGTACTGGGGATTCTGCTGTCTCAGTCAGGGTGGTAGTGCTCAGGGAAAGAACCAGTGGTGCCCAGGAGCAGGCAGCCATGTCCAGGGACAGGCAGCAGTGTGCTGAAGGAAGCGTTGGTGCTCTCACAGTCCCTACGTCATTTGTTCACTGTTAGCGAACATGTCCATGCCTTGTAAATAGCTAAAACATGGCACATTTTGAGAAGTTAACAGAGAATATGAGATTCAATCAAAAGAAATTTAGCATCATTCCACTTGAGAAAGGTTAGGAAGTGGTTATTCAGGAAAGGCGAGACCAACAGAAAATGCATGTAGTGAGATTGTGGAGGGAGGAGGGAGCATGAGCTCTTTGTAGAAAACCCAAAACTAACAGTTCAAGGTTGGTTTACTTTCTGATGTAATCAACTGGCAAGTTCAAAGGTAGTTTGTTATTCCTATGTCCGCTGTCCACAAACTCAAAGAATAGTCCAGGGTAGAGCTGTTGGCCAGGGGACCTGAGAAGGGAATGTGGGAGAGGAGGGCTCAGTGTAACCTGGAGTGGGTGGAGGGGGCCTTGGCCCCCCTAATTCTCATCATCACTTCCCTGCCTTTGCCAAGAACGACTGATACTTCCTCCACGGAATATGACGTGCCATAAAGCGTGAGCACTGCTTTATGGCACGTCAGCTGCCCCCACTCCTCCCAACTTCCAGGCAGCTACTTTGAGCCCCATTGTCTCCTGGCCTCAGTTCTGCCTCTCTCTCTCTCTCCCTCCCTCTCTCTCTCTTTTCCATTTGCAGGCCAGACTGCTTTGTGGGGCAGAAGGGTAGAGCCAGGGAGCCTGCCAGCTACTCTGGAAATGGGGCCACAGTCAGACAGGGATATTTTGCAACCAGAGTATCTCAAGTGCTTAGTTTTGTCCCCACCAGAAGCATTTGGCTAACCATTCAAGCAAGTGTGGTGTCAAGTTCATGCTGTCAGACACTGTCCACTCAGCTATGTTCCTGCACTAGGGGAGATCGCCTCTTAGGGCACAGAGACCATGTTTGCTGCAGCCACAGCTGGCCTGACACCCTGTCTTCACAGCAACTCTTCTGCCATGGCTGGCTTGTGTGTTATGAACATACAGGGCTCTAGCCCTGTGCCGCTGATGGGGGAGAGACAATGACACTGGCAAACAAGAGCATGGGTGAAGGAGGCAGAGAAGGGTGGAGGCTCCACTCCAGAAGTGGAAACCAATGACTCAGCACTGGACCCCGGGAGCCATTAGGAGCCATCTGCTCATGAACCAGAACCATCTTCAGCAAACACTGGCTCAGGGTGGGTCCCTCAGGAGCTGTGTGTTGGGAAGGGGTCTGAGCTCAAGGATCAGTTGCCAGTGCTGGGTGAGGCACGGTCTACACCCGCCCTGCCCCTGCCCTGCCCCTGCTGGGCTCTTCCACTCTGAGGCTGGCTTAGACATCCCCAGTTCCCAAAAAGTTCATGCACATAGCAACTGCTTAATCTGCATTTAATGAATCAATAGAGCATATTTTTCCATCTTATATTTCCCATTGGAAAAACCTACACTTGCTCCCACTTGTTTTGTTTTACCAAATTAAAGTTGTGAAAGCTTTTCCAGCCAAGCTCGTCCTCTGACCCTTGCTGTAATCTTGCCCACTTCCTCTCTGCATCACATACCGTGTGCTTCTCTGGCTGGAAGAGTACGAGGAGCCCCTCCCTGAATCAGGGGGAGGGGCAGCACGCATAGGCCTGGAAGCCAAGCCGTGTGGGGAGCTAAGATGACACCTGCATCAGATACTAGAGGCCAAGCAGCCGTCAGATTCCATAATGACTTCTTAAAAAAAAAAAAAAAGTGTATTCA